CCTAATGTCAGGAAGGATATTTTTTCTGGGGATCCTTACAAATAGAGTATTGTGTAATGTAATCAGGTTCTGTGATGTGGAATCCTCAACATTCTCCTATGGCATCACACCAGATTGTGTGGTCCTTTGTGAAGCTCATCAGCACAGCCCAGACTGAAGCAGAGGAGAACAAATAATCTGCCTAAATAGACCACCTAAAAAGGATTGATGGAGCACACTAGGATAACCCTTGCTTAGTTTGAATAAAGGGAATCAAATTCTTTAAAAAGAGTGTTGGGATTTTTGTGTAGGTGTTGAGAGCATAGACTCTGAAACCATGTTGCCTGGCTTTGAATCTTAGCTTTGCTGCCTATTAGCTGAGTGACCATGGACAAGTGACATAATTTTTCTGTGGGATGGTAATAATAATACTTAGTTCACAGATTTTTGTGAGAAGTGAATGTGTCACAGTGCCTGGCAATAGTAAGTACTATGCAAATGTTAGTTATTGTCCTATTGAGGGCTTTGAACTAAACTATGTAAAATGCTCCACACCCAATTCCAATGTGGACAGCAGGGTTTTCCCACATGAGGCAGTTCTTGGGCACCAACTGGGTGTCCCACAAATCAACTCAATGTTGACACTATCTACCTGGAGACAGTGTCAGATCCTACAGGTTCAGGATGTGGTCCTACAAGACTGACCCCTCCCCTCACCACTACCAATAAGAACAACTTGGGACACCAAATCCAGGTTGTTCCCTTTGCTCTGACTGACCATCAGCTATAGATGGAAGTTCCCATGACCCTTCCTTGGGTTCCATTAATTTGCTAGAGCAGCTCACAGAACTCAGAGACATATTTTACTAGATTACCAGCTCACTTTAAAAGGATAGAACTCAGGAACAGCCAGATGTCGTAAGGTATCTTAAGACCTAACCCTAGAAGTTCAGAATATAGCTTCTTTGCATTCTGCTGTTCAAGCAAGCACAGAGGTCCATGTAGATGCAAGGGGAAAGGGATCGGACTCCACATCCTTGCCAGTGTGGCCAGTTTTCAGGCTTTGTATGTCAAGTAAAAAGTGAATCACCTGTGTTAGAATCTGATAATAAAATATTATGGTGGAACCCATTGCAAAAATGCCTATAAATGAAAAAAATGCCTACAAACAGAAGAAACCATGAGAAAGACAGAAACTTGGACTTAAGCTATGTAATAAAGGAAAGTGCAGAGTTTTGGAAGAACACAATTGGTCTCATGTTTGTCCTCTCCTTGGTAAAAGTCTTTTAGTGGACGATCCTAGACTGAAATTTGTCCTTCACACTATCCAGTGAGCATATTGTTGTGTTTGTTCTTGTTTTCTTTGTTATGGGTTTTTTTGGTGAATTTGAACATGTTTGGGTATTCATGCTACTCTTAGGCACAGTCCTCACTACTCCTTACTGTCACACACTGATCTGTTCCACTTATGGATGTTACTCGTTTAGTGACTACAACTTGAGGTCTTATTTGCTTTCTAGACTTCTCTGGTTGTTAACACCATTTTGGTTCAGAAACTAGCCTTAACATGAAGGGAAATGAGTACATAAAAAAAATGTATCATACAGCCTTATCTATTGAGACTGTGTCCTAGAACTGGGGCCCAAAGGAGCTGGGGGAAAAGTGGAATGATACCTACATCACTCCGCCCGCTGCAGGGGTGGGGGGGGTTGGGGGGGGCTGGTACATACCAATGGCATCACCCTCTGATTATTTTGCTGGCTGTCTCATAGTTTGACCACTAAGGTTTCAATCCAGTACTGAGTAGATTGATCCTTATTTTCATGCTGCTTACTCTGGTGTCTTATGTCATCCACTGTAACCACCATCATGCCAATGGCCACCTCAAAAATTGTGGAAAAGGCACCATTTTGAAAGGGTGTGCTCCGGAGGGCAAACTGCTTTCTGTTTAGTTATTTTTACTTGGGCTGGGGTCATTTTGCACAGGGTCTGAGCAATGTCTTACAACAGACTGCTCAATAGCTAATATTTGTAGGGAGGACAACTCTTAGGTCATTAGAATGTCATGAGATGGCCTTTATTAATCACAAATCAACCATATCAGGTCAAGCTTGCCCTTGTTTTGCAATTGAGAGTACACTCAATAAATGATTCTATTTTGTTATATACATTTGTACTTTCTAGAAGATATATTTTTCCCACTATGGACATGCATATTCTCTACATATTTCTTCATATTCATTTCTCCTCATTATTAGCACCTTAAGAACTTCCAAGTTAGAAATAAGAAAGAATGTTCCACAGGTCCCAGAGTAAGCATATTGTTAAGTTTCATTCAGGAAATTCTGGAGTTGAACTACAAATCATGGTTGGCTCTCTAGTCAAAAGGTCACCCTTACTCTCAACCCCTTGTCCAAACATGATGCAATTTGAGACCCTCTGAGTTTTTCATTTTCCTATACGTATTGCCTTTTGGTCCTGTGTCAAGAAATTATTCTCATTAGAACAATAACAACAAAAACCCTTTGTTCTTTCATTGGTCTCTTGGGTGGTTTTAGTGGTATTGAACTCAGACATATATTTGCTGTTTCTTGAAATCATGAATTCCACATCTCAATGGGATTATTACAATTCTCTAGCATGAGATAAATCAAATTGTATGGAATTTGTTTGAGAGATTTCTAAAGAACAAAAGGAGTGTATGTGTCGGGAGGAAGGATGGGGGTGGTTGGAATCTATTCATATCTCCAAGATCATGGAAAACTCCCTCTCCTTAAAATAGCTGCCCTTTGTGGCAGGTACTGCTTGTTGCCTACCCCAAACCCATTTTCCTTCTTCCTTCCTATCAGGATCTCTGATTTTGTGGAGGGCTGCAATGTATGTAGTTAAAAAGACCCATCTCCTAGAGTTCCTTTGTGTTATGGAGCTATTCTATGTCATGATTTTGACCATAGTTATATGAATCTGTGATAAAATGTCACAGAACCATATACACCGACATATAAAAAATGAAAGCAAAGTTCATGAAGAGCTGGTGAAATCTTAATTGGGTTGTTAGTTTAGTCAAATGTAATTCTGTCGGGACGCCTGGGTGGCTCTGTCATTAAGCATCTGCCTTCGGCTCGGGTCCTGATCTCAGGGTCCTGGGATCAAGCCCCGCATCAGGCTCTGTGCTCCATGGGAAGCCTGCTTCTCCCTCTCCTGCTCCCCCTGCTTCTGTTCCCTCTCTCTCTGTGCCTTTCTCTGTCAAATAAATAAATAAAATCTTTAAAAAAAAAACCCAAAAAACAAATGTAATCTGTCAGTGTAAGTTTCTTAATTTTGATAATGTGCTACAGGTATGGAAGATGTTACCATTGAGGGAAGCAATATAATGGCTAACTGGGACCTCTCAGTATTTGTGCAGCTTCTTGTGATTCTATGATTATTTCCAAATAAAGACTTGAAAATAAAGATATAGACATAGACTTCTTTACAAATAAGGATGACCCTGTGACCCACCTTTGACCAATGAGGAAAAACAGGATTATACAAATAGTGGTCCTGGGTAGGCTACTTTATCATATTTAAGGGGACAGACTACTGCTTATGTTTTCATCTTTGTTTTTTTATCCTTCTTCCCTCATGGAACACACACATGGGACCAGATATATAGGTATGAAGTAGAAAGTTTGCATATGCAGATGAAGTAGAAAATTAGAAGGAACTTGGGTCCTTGACTCTACTATCCCAGGACAGCCTACTTTGGGGTTTTGTATCATGTGAGAAAAATAAACCCCTTGTGTTTAAGGCTGTGTAATAGGGTTTATGTTTTTTGATGTTGCATGTAATCTTAAATAATACCTTCTTCTTTGTTCCAAATATAACCGGGGTCACCAAAAGTCTGGGTGCCAATAGACTTTTATTTCATCATCCTGATTTCACCTGCTCTAGACAACAGTTTTGGAGTCCTGTGCTCTTGTAACAATTTATTCATGAGCTATTGGCATGCCTTTGGACAAGAAACCCATTTTCTCTATGATGAGAGAGTTGGACTTAAGAGCACCAAAAGCTCTTTTTTGTATAATTAAAGAAAAACCTTAAACCAGGAAATGGGTAATGATGGAATCTAGGGACATGCTAAATCAGTACCCAGTAATCACAGAATATTGGTAGAGTACATAATGGGAGAAATAAACAGATATTGGAAGGAAGGAGGCAGATTAAATCACTTTCCACAATTACTTAGACTCCTTTCCTTTGTGAGACAATAATCACTCCTGCCTATTCTTACATATCTTGTTGGGCTTCCTGGAAGAAGAGTAAACATGTCTCACTGACTTTGGGCTTGGCCAAATGACATGCTTTGGCCAGTGCAATATGAGAGGATGTGATGTATCTCATATTCACACAAAATTTCAGAGGCATCATAAATCTTCTTCAGAGTTCTTGCTCTTCTGTGCTATGTACACAGCCATGGCTCACATAGCTTCTCTCCCCTTCTAGGGCACTGAATGGAAACACACACACGAGCAGACATACAGCCTGGCTGCAGTCAAGCCACAGCTGAGACATAAAATGAGCAAGAAATAAACCTTTATTGTTGTAAGCTACGAAGATCAGAGTTTTTGTTACTGCAGAAAGTTGACTACTACAGAGAGGAACCTACAAGTCTTTAACAAAACGCCATTAGTCCATGGAGGTAGCTGCAAAAGTTCAAAAGCTGTAATTTAAGGAGGAGCTTGTGATTAGAAGCTGGGAAATAGAGTCAGGCACTGAAGAATGGGAACGTGGGCTTGGTTTGGTAAATTCTCTAAATCCCATCAAAAATTTTCTTTTTTATTATATGACATAATAGTTATAAGCAGTGGCTCTGAAGCCAGTTGCATGCATTCTAATCCCAGCTTTTCCATTTGCAAATTGTGTGTCTTTGGTCAAGTTACATATGTCTTCTCTAAAATAGGGTAATAAACAGGATTTAACTCCTTGGTTGGTACACAAATGTACTAAAACATAGTGCTTCAGAGAGCGGACACCCAGGTCTCCAAGATGGCATCAGTCGTACCAGTGAAGGAGAAGAAGCTCATGGATGTGAAACTAGGAGAGCTGCCCAGCTGGATACTGATGTGGGATTTCACCCCTAAGGGCATTGCTGGAGCATTTCAAAGAGGTTACTACCGGTATAACAACAAGTATGTCAATGTGAAGAAAGGGGGCGTTGCTGAGATTTCTATGGTGCTAGCAGCTTATGTGCTTTTCAACTACTGTCCTTGTTACAAGGAACTCAGACAGGAGCGGCTACGCAAGTACCACTGAAGAGGGCCCAGTGTGGAGGCACATTCCGCATTCCTGACCATGACCTTTGCCTGGCACCCTTGAATCCTTTCATATTCTAATTCAGAATTAACATCCAATAAAAGATGACTGGTAAAAAACAAACAAACAAACAAACAAAAAACATAGTGCTTCAAACAGTGTTTTGTCTATACTGTGTACTCAATTGTTAGCTACTATTAGTATGAGTGGGTTTCTTCCCTCCATTATGCCACTTTACTCTGCTTTTGGCTAAGACAATAAGATAACTACCAGAGCTTTGAACATAAGCACTGACTCATGGATAAAGGTCCAGAAGGAATTAGGACAAGACAAACAAAAGTCAGAAAAATAAGTCCATTGCAAAATGCTTTATCTATCTATCTATCTATCTATCTATCATCTATCTATCATCTATCTATTCTTCCTTTCTATTTCTCTTTGGATTAGTCTCTAAGGAAAAAATGTATTTACCAAAGACAAAGGCAGGCTTTAAAATGGTTTTGATTTTTTAGCTGATTTGTTATTTTGTTAAATTAGAAAATTTGAAGCCTATACAAAACTGGAGAGAAATGTACAAAATTCCTATGTATCTAACTCCTAAGTATAATATTCATCTACAAAGATCACTCTTGTTTCATCTATGCCCTCTCTTCCCTGCCCCACTAGATTAGGAAGAAAATCCCAGATGTCATAGCATTCGATTGAATAACTTTGAAAAATCATTTACAATTATCTTTTCTTAATAAAAGATTGCATGCTTGGACTCCTAGAGTATTCTCATTATGAGTTACGTAGCATCAGAAAATTAGAATGTAATAATTAACTGGTGGGTGGCATATCAGCTTGTTAAAATATAAAGTGTAGGCTGTGATCATGGTCTGGAGCCAAGAGACTGCCACACATGCTTCCCACATGGCTTCAGGGCGCTTCTATCTGGAGTGCACTGGCATGAGAGAGAGTCTGAAGAGTGGCCCTTTATAAAGCCTTCAGAACAAATCAGTCAATTCACTTTATTGCAATATATATTTAAAGACCAACAAGTATGCAATATGGTTTCATATTAGGAACATAGGTGAATTTAAGATGGGTCCTGCCTTTAGTGAGAGTTAGACCCATATATAGCTAATTATAACCCAAGGCATTTTGAAGACTTTTAGTATAAAATTCCAAACCAAAGCCTGTATCATCTCAGAGGGAGTGTGAATAATTTGAATTTGGGGAGATGAGGTAAGGAGAGACAGTTTCAGAGAGGAAGCAATTTTTAAATTTAGCTTTTAAAAAAATGAGTAGCATTTTGACAAGTGGACTAGGACGTGGGTGGGTAAAAGCCAAAAAAAAAAAAAAAAAAAAAGAGAGAGAGAGAAAGAGAAAAACCAAGCAAGGAATTTTAAAAGGTGTAAAAATATACCTATCTTAACCCAGAAATCAGTGATGTTTTGGGTCCCAATTCTGGAACCTTCTTTCCAGTTTTATGTAAGCCCAAGCAGTGTCCCAGAAACTTTTTTAATAGATGTCATTTGCTGACATAACACATTTTCTGCATACTGATGAAATTTAATAGGCAAATCAAATAATGTAACATTTACATTCATTTTAAATATTCCCATAAAACTGGAGTCAGACAGATTATAACCCTTGGGCCAAATCAGATCCACTGCCTGTTTTTGTAAATAAAGTTGAATTGGAACATAGCTACACCCATTTGTTTAGAATTGTCTATAATATATGGTGCTACAATGGCAGACTTGGGTACTTACAAGAGACCATCTGACCTGCAAACCATAACAGATTTACTTAGGGTCAGGACTAGGGTGAGGTGAGTGAAGTATCTATAGTAGACCCTCACGCTCCCGGGTGCCTGCATGACCCTGAGAGAGCTTCTTTACATTTTGCTTCTTAGATGCCTCCCTTACCTTTCCCTAATCTTGGCTCTGTATTTACTGTCTGACTCTCTATAGAAAAGTTCTTCTAAACCCTGCTATAAAATAAAAGGGTTTGTAGCAGATGATATTCATAAATTATTGAGCAGTGTTCCTGGGACGAGATGAAGTCTGTTCATTCTCCAATAGACAAGAAGAGTGGGAAGTGATGGATTTAACACTCATTAACTATTATTCATTATTTATGGCAACACGTCACTGAATATGCCACCCCAAATTAGGCCACTTTGGCATAAGAGTATTTTGAGCTATAGGCGATTAAGAGCCAACAGACACAGGAAAAGCTCTTTACCTCCCACTAACTGCCTAAATAAAGTATAAATTTCCCCTTTACAAGGAAATTTACATTTCTAAAGGAAATTTCCATTTGTAGAGATGTGTCTGTACCAGGAAGAGAGACAACTCTTATCACCTTAGAGATTCTAATCTGCATAGCAAGACAACCCTTATTTATCATACATTTCTTCCCCTCATCTTCCCAGAACTTACCTCCCCTGCCCAGAAGCCCTTTGTTTAGCCTAAGATGGTATATAAGCCTTAGTCTTCGGGCTGCCTCCAGGAGCCACATTTTCTTTTGTGAAGTCTGGGGCATATGTACATAATTACAACTGTTTTTTTTTTCTCTTGCTAATTTGTCTTTTATCAGTTTGAACCTAGGAAGGTAGAGATGAAAGAGTTCAGACAAGTCTCCCCAGAATGTGCCACCTTAACATGTGGAATATTTTAAACTAAAGGCAACTGAGACCCTGTGGACTCAAGAGGAACTTTGCCTCTAGTCTTAACTACCTAGAAGAATCTAAATGGAGGAGATTTCCCAGAATTAGAGTTATTACCAGAGATCAATTTTATCTGAGTGACCCAACTGCATGACAGGGCAAACATCTAATTACCAAACATCTGCTCTTCTTATTGCCCTGTGAATTGCTCTCCCAGGCCCCTATCCCATTTCTTAGCTCAGGATGGCATATATACTTCATTTTACTTCATTTCATTTGAATCTCCTGTGTATATGGGGTTCCCATGTATACAAAATTAAACTTGATTTTCTCCTGTTAATTTATCTCATGTCAATTTAATTCTTAGACCAGCCAGCCAGAAAAATCTTTGAAAGGTAGAGGAAAATTATTCCTCCTCTATAGAGGAAGAGATTTTTCTTCCCCTATATCACTAAATAGAAACTCTACTTCACCATTTCCGCAAAGTATGCTGGGGCCAGGACTGTTGATTCTAGCATGAATGATTCAGTCAAATAGGATTCCTTGTTGGTCTTTTCCCTTTCTTGTTTATCTCATATATGATTTTCTTTCCAGATATTTCCCTAAGTTGCTTGTGCTATTTTAAACTTCAGGTTATATATACTGTTTCTTATTTTATGCATTTTTAATCAGTGTATGCATTGAGTTTAATAAAATTACTCTCATAAAATGAAAATAATAAAAATTTGCTTTTTACAAATTTATAGAACCAAACAATGGGAGATTGGCCAGAATCAGTGAAGGCTGAAATGAAATAAGAATAGCTCTTACCCCTTTATCCTCTGCTGATTTTTCATCCACTCCTGCAGGTTGCTTTCCAGAGCACTCTGAATATGCCCCACTTGCCAGTGCTTCTAATGGAGCATTTTCCCATGTGAACCCTATTGCCACGTCAGTGAGGGCATTCCTTTCAGAGAAAATTGCTTTGGAATAATTTTTCATGTGATTTTTTTATCCATCTTCTCGTATCTCTTAACCATGTAAAAAATTTCAAGTTGTGTAGTTTGATAGCTTCACGTCACTAGTGCCATAAACAATGGACAGAATCAGGGACCCAGATATAATGAGAACATGTTCTGAGACTTTTAAATTTCTTTCTGTAAGAATATACGGCTACTTAGGTAAGAAATGAGTATTGTTGGTGTGTTTTGAAACCTCATGGATAGATATAAAATATTATGTAATAAAAAAGTTCATTGAGTCAACATTAGATTCTAACCAAAAAAAATGCAAGTGGTGGGAAATGCACGGTTGCATCTGAGGTTTTCAAAGCAGTCCAGAGTGAAAACAACTTTTTTTAAACAGCTGTGCAGAAAAGTAAATATCAAGTAGAGATAAATAGAACAAATGTCTTGATTCTTCAGGTAAACTTAGAGATCATAAATTTTTAATGGGTTTAATCAATACGGACTACTAGAAATTATTAGTATTCCACATACAAGCATGGAAAATTGAATACATAACATCTATCCAAAATCAAAATAAAAAGAAAAGGTGGTAGTGTGATTGGCTTAGGGAGCAGTGTGATCAGCTTAGGAAGGCAAGGCACTGAGAAACCAAAAGGTGGATGAAAATAGTAAAGCACCATTCATAGCATATTTTTTTGCAGCTCAGAAGTGCTGCTAACCAAGGTCCCTAGGAATCCAAATTGAGGACAAATGATTGGATATTGTTTATACATCCCACATGTTTCAGGAAGAAAACCACCCTTCCCATACTCTCCAAAGTGCCCCCACTCCATACTCCATCAAGTGGTACACAATAGGGTGCTTATGTGGTGTTTAGCCCTTCCTCAAAAGAACCTGGCATAAATCTCAGTAGGAGACAGGATATCAGAATAAATAGGTCATTGTTCCGTTGCCTTAGGGCGATTCTGGTGTTCCTGTTGCTTGACAAAGACACCAGTGCCGGGAAGTGAGGTTGATTGTTTCATAGAGCTCCCATTTTAAAGTTCTCCTCACTTGCTTCTCTGGAGTAGTTCCTCTGCTATGATCCCATCTGGGAAAAAGGTCTTGATAACCATGCCACTGGGAGGTAGCTTTTTCTTTTATTCTACTTCTCCCGTTCACCATCTGTTATTAATTACTTAGTAGTTCCATTTGCTAGGCATTTTAAAAGCAGAAAAGTGAGCAAGCAGCTTCAGGTCTGGGCTGTGGAAGGTCTTGTGTTTATAACTGGAATGAGAAAGTCTTGTGATCAGCCCCAGGAGACCTATAGAAGTCAGATCATGGGTTGATGATATTTCTTCTTTTCATAGTAATGAGGACATATTTTAACCACTCTCCCATGTGTGATTTGATCTAGGAACCAACTGGATTTAGAAATTTTGGGAAAAGGTGCCTATATTCATTTGCCAAGGCTGCCATAACAAAGTACCACAGACTGGGTGCCTTAAACAGCAGAAATTTATTTTCTCACAGTCTG